AATAGATTTTTCATATGCTCTCTTACCCTTCAATTTTGGATAAATTAGGCTAAATTAAGTTATAATTATTGAATTTCAACAATTCTGTGCACAAAATTCGGCATTACTATTGCTAAGTGGCATCACCTAACTTGATAGCTTCAAACATATTGGGTCACTGAAACCTGCTGTGTACCGATGAATGGAAGACTTGTAATTAATCTTCAATACATGATTTGCTAACTGGTGTCATCCACTGCTTTGAATTTTATGATCTGTCCACATTTTTAGTGATGACTACTTTGAGTTGATGGATTTCACAGTAGTAATGATAATGGTTATGATGACTTTGAGAAAGTCATCGTATTACCCCCTTTCTCCCGTAGTTATCAATTTCGCTGTATTGTCTCTGTTTTTTATTCCAGTTACATTCATTTACACTCATCGAGGATTTTTAGCTTTTACTAAGTTTAAATTGTTTCTAAATCGTTTAACGCCTGAATAATAATTTATTTTTAAAATTTGACGCACTTTTAATGACAACTTGCCTTATATCTATGTCTTAAATCTTGTTATCTATCATTTTGACATACTACATTTCTCGTTCATATTTTTGGGATTAATATTAATATCAATCGAATTGCTCCTCCGATTCCCGCCCCGCCGTTGTGATATAGGACTTTAAATGCCCTCTGGACGCCTGAATAATAATTTATTTTTAAAATTTGACGCACTTTTAATGACAACTTTCCTTATATCTATGTCTTAAATCTTGTTATCTATCATTTTGACATACTACATTTCTCGTTCATATTTTTGGGATTAATATTAATATCAATCGAATTGCTCCTCCGATTCCCGCCCCGCCGTTGTGATATAGGACTTTAAATGCCCTCTGGACGTACTTGGCTAGTCAGGGTGTGGAAACCCGATCGCTTTGGCAGCGTATATGTGAGCTGGCCTTCAAAACTTTATCTTCTGTAACTCCATCTATCTCCAGTCTCGTGCAACAGTTTTGCGTCCGCCGATACTGTGTCCACGAGCTGTTTGGTTTTGATATTCTTTTGGATTCCGATTTAAAACCCTGGCTTCTCGAGGTTAATATTTCGCCTAGGTGAGTACTAGTTGTTTTATCAAGTCTAAGATTTATTATAGTCTCATTATAAGCTCCATATTTCTGATCTCATACATATTACCTCATTATACTCTTGCAGAGTATCACATTTCATCAACTTGCAACTTGCTTATATTTTCACAATCACTTTTACGAACTCCCTATTGAACTTATGCATCCTTGCGTTCTATCTACTTGGACCAGTTACATTTTAAGATCTCTCGCTGGCATGCCCGGTCCCGAGAGCTAAGTTTGGAACTTTAAGCACAGTCAATGAGGCAATCTCCTTTCCCCTAAGCAAAGACCATGACATCATATTTTCCTATTCTTAACTTTGCATTAGCCATACTCATTTATACTCTATTTTGCTACAATAAACCGAAAGATGCATCCTTTCGAGCATGTTATGCCCATTTCTCGTCCCATCCTTTTGTTCCGCCGGTGCCTCGATCGAATCTGACCTCAAATACCACTTAAAATATGGTTTTATCAGTTACTTCCTCTTTTTACATTTCCGATTTAGTCCTCACTGTTGAGCCTACTTTAGCTAAGATTATCTATTGTATAATAACCTCACTAAGAGCTTTCGCTTAAGGATACTTTTCTTGCTTGTTTTTCTTTAATGCCTCCTAAGAATTATCTCATTTTTGACTTGCTCGTTAAAATCCATAAATGTGCTGACCATATATGTTGCATGCTCCGGGTGATTTTTTGTTGATTACCTTCATATTTTGTAAGACGGGCAAACTTGGGCATTTGAATTGAATTACTGATAAAATCCTCCTCATCCCGTAGGTTGATTGTCCTTTCTTCACAAAAATAACGTTTTTCTTTGAATATGTTCATTCGCTGCTATTATATTGTTATCTCCATCACTCTTTTACATGCTAAGTTTTTTTATCTTGCTCATCATAACCTTTTGATATTTCTTTCTTCATGCTCTTTTATTTTGGTATATTTCTTCCCTACTCTCTGTTACTAATCCTCATCAGTCTGCATACGCATTCCCTTCTTGACAATGAAGTCAAGACGCGTGTGATTGTCGATATGTTTAACATTGCCGGCTTCCAGGTTCCTTCTGGTAAGGAGGCCCGTCGGCGGACCAGTGCTACTGCATTTCCGATGGAAGAACGTGAGAATGACGTCTGCCAGGCCAATGTGACTAACAAGTGTCCCATTTTACCCCCTTCTGCCGTAGCTACTAGCTGTGAGACGTGTACTCACAACATTTCCTCGCCTCTTGGACCAGCGGCCTGTCGTGATAAACACCAAAAGAGTTTAGCTGTTCCAGACATTCAAAATTCTTTCGAAGTGACATCTCATTCAAATTACGGAGTTTCTTCCGCTTCAGCTGTTTCTACTAACACTAAAAGTCTCAAGCCTTTTCATAGTCCTCAAGTAATTGAACGAAGAGGATCTCTCGGCTCTTGTGCGGGCTGCTTAGCCACTTGGGTCTCAAATACAGGACGCACAGCTCTCCTAGAGCCTGTAGGTGTTAAAAAAAGCGGCGTCTCATCGAAGTTGCATTCACAATCAGTAAGAGACCCGCAATATCAATACACCCTTTTATAACGAGCTAAATTAGGTATTCCACTGCTGTCAGATTGTAATTTTGGGAGTAAAGTTATGGCCTTAGGATCAATATTAATGTTATTATTATTTCTACCATTACTATTAATTACTTTTACTAAAAATTAATATCTAATTTTCAACGAATATCCTATATGTAATGATTTATCTGGATTTCGTCTGGTGTTTAGTCGCCTGATTATCGATATTGTCAGAAGATGAGTGGATTCCTCTTCATCTGTGGTTAGTTTGATTTTATTGGGGTTCTGATGGTGCCGCAGTCCTGACATCCTCCTTCGTTTCCCGTGAAAACTTTCTTAGGTTTCTAGAAATGGGTTGACCTCGTTGTCGCAGCTTGGTCTTGTTGCCAAGGCGGCTTAGTAGAACGCACTTAGTCCGAAGTCGTCTGCCATAGTAGTTGTCATGATTCTCTGCATCAGGCAGTGGACTTGGTACATTCTCAGACCAAGCTACAAACTCATTAATGAGATAGATGAAGTCAATCCCCCGACAACCGTTCTGCCGAAAGAGGAGTAATAGTCTAGCCGTTTTCGGCAAAACATTTGTATGGGAATTGACTTTACATGTCTCTATGACGATTTCGTAGCTTGTTGCGGTGATGATGCCGGCGAAACGTCTGAGAATGTACCAAATTCACGGTCTAATACTGGGAATTATGATAATTACTGTGGAAGAGAACTTTGGACAAGGTGCATTCTACTAAATCGCCCTGACAACAAGACTAAGTTCCGAAAACAAGGTCAACCTACTTCTCTAAATCAAAGGGAGACTGCGACCATGCCGGGGGCCACACCAGCTTGGTCTTCATATCTTTTCCTAGGCTTCGTTTGTCACTTGACAGACATTATTAAATCTGTCGCGCTCTTAAACTGACTTAGAATTAATATTTAGTCAATAAAACTAAGCCTGTCATCCCCGCCTTAATATACTGAAAAACAGCTTACTATTTTTTTTATTCATAGAGAGTATGACCTTAATAATAGAAATTAATTATAAAATTAGTGCGATACCATGAACTTCATGATTATTATAAAGACTTTTAAAGAAAGTCTGTTTTGGATATTTCCAGGTCAAAACTGTTATAATTTTCTAGATTACGAAATCATTGAAAAACTTTTAAACAAAACTTATTACGTTTTATTCTGGTATCAATTCTTATTGTGAGAGCTATTTATTAATTCTAGTGATGAAACTGGAGATTTTGCAGGAGTTAGATCTAAACAAAGCATCTGTTTTAATGCTGTCAAACCAATTCATCATTTGCAGGTAATCTAGGTTAGACAGTAGTTTTTCTTAACAGAAGCACAGATCTCCAAATTGATCTTGTTTAGCTCCTATTTATATGGATAGTTTAATAACAAACTTTGAAAAAACACTCAACATTGGATTATTTTGCCATATGATAGCATGTTATGAATGGCTTAAATAAATTCCAATTTATGAATAGTTTGCGTAGAAGTAATGGCAAGTTTATAATGGAATTATAAAATAATAAGTGTTCAAGTATTATTTGTTTTGGTTGCTAAGGGATCCTACAGATATAACCTGGTAGATCTTATCCTCTAGGCATGGTTAACATTAATTTCAATGTAATTTTGAATACAATTTAGGATAAATCTAAGGAGTGTTAGACCTTTTTTCATGACTTTTCTTTCATGCCTTATTTTTCAAAGGTTGACCAACTTGTAAGAGAATGGGGACTAATTACCGTCAGAGTAATTTTGACATTTTCTTTGGAGTTGCTGAACATAAAACAGCCTTAGAAGCGCCATCACACCATATGCCTGACTTTCTCCTCTCCCTTTCGATTGGTTGATCCTGCTCCAGTCTCATGTCCGGATCTGCCTCATAGGCCCGTGGGTCCGTTTATAATATTTCGGGTTCACCGATTTCACTCGGTTTCAGCCCCAGCGTACTTTTACTATAAATGCTATTTCTCAAACCTTCAGCAGCACGCACAAAGCCGCATTATTTTCAGAACGCCTAGACCCTGATTCCCTTGCTTGTGGATATTAGCCATTCCCTCCTCGATTAAGTCCGTGTAGACTGAGCAAACTATGGACATCCATCTCTGGTCGCCTGCTGCATCTCGAGTCGATTATTAGCCCATTTGGTCGCAATGGCCTATTTATGTGACCCAATCCCTCTCCCTAGTCACGCGAAATGTCGGACCCCCAAGTTGTACTTGTTTATTCGAGCTGACCACTCTCGCCGAAAGCGTCTTCGCTGCATTTTCGAAACCTCATCCTCTTCTTCCTTGCCACTCCTTTTTCCTTTGGTTTACGATAGACCCTTGTTCCAGGCGTCTCCTTTTTGCTTGTCCTGTTGCATCCCTGTTTTCTCCGAGTTTGATTAGAGAATAGGCAAGGCTATCACTGACTCTGCCTTCTTCCAATTACATGTTCATTAAATTTTCTCCCCCAAAGCTATAAATGGCCCTCCTAATCTTCCGGTTTTTGTGCTTTTACTGTATGAAGCCATTCTTTCTGTTGCCTTCCAATTGATCTCGTGTCGAATCCATTTCACATAAACCTGCTTCCCAAAAGGTGTTCTCATTCATTTGGACTTCATTTTCGAACTCGCCTGGGTCTTATGAGCACCCCCAACAGGACTCGAACCATGTCAATGGCTAACGGGTCGAGATCATGCGATGCAGTTCCATGGTTCAAGTCCCCCTTGGGGCGTTTATAAGACCTAGGCGAGGTCAAAACTATAGTCCACCGCGAATGGGAATAACTTTTGGGAAAGCAGGGCTATATGAAATTCAATGCAAGCGTCATGTATATTCATATCATTGTAGAAAAAGTCAACTACCAGCCACTTTATAACCATGCACGGAATCTAATGAATACATCTCATATATATGATATCCTGGTGGTCTCGAAAAATAGGTTGTGTTAGTTCGACCTCTTTTTCGCAACTTGATGGGATCATCAAAGAGTCCTGTGTCCTCTGCCATAGTATTCGTGATTGTTAGCATCGGGTCATTAACTTGGTTCATTACCAAACTTTTCGCCGGCATCGTCAATGAGAGATGCCACGGTCAGTGCAGAGTTACAACTTATCAAA